GTGGAATAAGGAGCAAAGCTATACAGGGCGTATCATAATAAAGGATATTGAAGTTTAATGACGATTTATATGAAAACTACTGATTTCATAATCAAGCATTTTATGTCTGTTGTAAAGGACAGAATGTCCTCTTGTTAATGACACCCCGATCATACTACACCTGTCACAGTTGACTGAATAACAAAGCATTGCTGTCCACCATGTGAAAGGTGCACTGTGACAAGTTAGCATTCACAGATAAATTCTAAAGATTAGTGCTTGTGTCAGCCCAGACATATTGAAATGCTGAACAATGAGTGGATTATGTGTCTAAGAAGGAAATGTTATCAAACTTGGCACAGTGCACCTTTCACATGGTGGACAGCAATGCTTTGTTATTCAGTCAACTGTGACAGTAGTAGTATGATCGGGGTGTCATTAACAAGAGGACATTCTGTCCTTTACAACAGACATAAAATGCTTGATTATGAAATCAGTAGTTTTCATATAAATCGTCATTAAACTTCAATATCCTTTATTATGATACGCCCTGTATAACTGACTTAAAAGTTGATGAATGATATATGAAGAAAAAAGTTTGCATGAATTTGGTCTTAGAGAATCAAAGTACCAACATGTTAGGAGTGATAATCCTAGAAGGAATATAACATTTTAGAATATGTAATTAAATATTATTGGGAAAGTTATATAGTTTATGTATCTTGAAAATGTCATGGGGAAAATGCATATATGAAATCCTGCTTGGAAATAACATTTCTAAATGTATATCCAATATAAAGAGTCACTACATCTCGGTGTTAATTAAGAGAGATGGAGAGATAGAGAGAGAATGGAGGAGAGAGTGAGAAAGAGAGAGAGAGGGGGTTTGGAGAATAAAATATTTAGCATTTCGGAATAGGTGGTTAGCCAGAGAGACGGAGAGAGAAACAGAGACGGGGAGGGCAAAGGGCAGAGTATAAAGCAAGTAAAGTGATGACATGAAAACTGAGGTTTTATAATTAATTTCAATAAAGTGACATAGGAGGCATGCAGGAAAGAGGGAAATGAAATAGAAAGATACAAATAGATCAAGAGAAAAGGATGAGAACTGAAGAGCAAGAGAGAGGGTGAGAGAAAGAGGAGGGCAGAGAAAAGAGTAATGGTTTGATGAGAGCGGTGAATGTCCATCATTCAATTAAATGTGTCCTGTAAGAATAGGAGCAAGAATCCACACCATCCTGCCTCTAGAGAGTCAAAGGCCATCAAATTGAAATTGTTTGTTCACTGACTTTTCTCCCCATTGTGAGCGACCCATATATACTGAAAGGGCATTCTCACTAGTGTCAAACTACAAGAACTTGTCATGACTACGATCAATTTCACGTAATTCATTTCAGTTCAATTTGTCCATTACTTTTAAATTCAATTTCATTCACTTCAATTCACTTTGATTTGATTCTAGTCTAATTGAAGTTAAGTCAACGTGATTGAATTCAATCTAAGTTATGCTGACATATTTAAGAGAGAACGCTAAAAGAAATATCATGTTGGAACTTAAAGTTTATCAGCAGTTTGTGGCATATGTTTATTTTAACTGAGTCTGTTAGTTGGATGCTGATGTTTAACTTTATATGGATATATTCTAATCCCCCCCCCCCCATGTATGATGTATAAAAGATTGAAATGCTCTCTATTTGAGTTGCAAATGAAAATGAAAATTTCATTGCACTTCATCTGTTTATCACCTGAATGGTGTTCACTCTGTGTTAAAGTATGTTTTAAAACATCCCTCTTGCGCAAAAAACAGACACATTTCTGTGTTCTTTGGGACAATGTTTCTACTCTATTCTTGAGCCATACATTAGTGTAAATACATTTTGAGTGAAGTTCCCCATTTCATTTTAGGAGATTGTCCTCCATGTTAGATGCTGACTATAGGAGAACCTTTATATGGGTCTATCCAATCTCTTGGTCTATCACCCTTTTCTGATGCTGCTACTGGTTTTGCATAGAAGTGCATCAGTAATTGTGTTGTACACATGGACTAATAACATAAAGCCGAAGTTTTCACAGTGTAATTTGATGCTCTTTTAGAATTTGCCCAGCCAACGGAATGAGGGAATTGTTATAATTTGATTTTTGTTGGCTCCCTGATGTAATTAGACTATTTTGAGGAAATAATTATTGATAGAGGAAAAGAGAGATAAGGATACAAAAATATAGAGTGAGGTTGAGAAAGAGAGTCAGAGATAAAGAGAGAATAAGAGACGGGGAGGGGGGGGGGGAGAGAGAGGTGGGAAATGCATGGATCAAATGAGGAGGGGTTGCAGAGGACAGAGAAAGTTGAACAAGTTTTAAAAACGCTCTTTAAATGAAATATGAATAAGAAAGATGAAAGAGAGGGCAGGACAGGGCAATTTTGATGAAAGCATAAATAAGAAATGATAAAAGGGAAAGTGCCGGTGAACTGCTAAGACAAAATATGAATAAGAAATGATGGGGGAAAGAGAGGGAGAGAGAGGAAGAGAGAGAGAGGGGCATGAGAAGGAGAAAGAGAGAGAGAGAGAATGAGGAAAGCTAGAGAGAAACCCCCTTGATAACATTACTTATGTAATCAAGAGAGGGGGATTTGTGAAGAACAATGGATGAGTGCAATGGATAAGATCTAAATCTTAAAATAGGTATTAGAAAGGAAAAACACTTCTGACAGGGAAAGATTATCTATGAGAAGGATTTAGAATGATAAGTGGGAAATATTGACACTTATGAAACTATTGATTTGAAATGAAAGACAAGATTAATAGATCAAAAGGATTCTAGAGAAATATAGGATAATATGAGACATGGATAGAAAAAACTGTACTTTAAAAAGATATATTTATAAAAACTGATTGAGGAAAGAGAAAAAGAATTTTGGAGAAGATTTTATGGAAGAATCAAACTAATCTTAAAGAAAATATATGTGGTATGAAGTGGTACAAAATCACAATGGAAATAATTCATACCGTCTTATATAAATGAGAGGGAAGCCAAGTGACAACAAATGTTTAAAAGAAAATTTGTGAGAGGATCAATTGAACTGCCAAATTTGGTCCAAGTACATTTTCATTTAACAATAAGTTTTGATTCTTCACTGCTGTCTGCTAAGAAATAAGAACGTGGAAACAACTGCTGTTTCTGTTTAGTAAAAAATAGTTAACTGATAGGTTAATAAGTTTCAATTTTCATTAGATGCAGGTTTATCCCCAAACATGGGAGAAAATGCAAAAATGTCCAGAATACCTTCGTGAAAAGGTGACAATTATCAGAAATTGAGCATGTGAGAGTAGCTATCTCAGTTAGATGTTGACATAGGTGACTGTACAGTTGTCATTACACACTGAGTGCATGCAACTTGAGTGATGAGTGGATAATAGTGGGTGAAAGTGGCCTGTGTCATGCTTTTACGGGAAGAGCTTAAGTTCATATTGTTTGCATAATAGATCAAATATTCATTGACTACTTGAAGGGCAGACATATCAGTAGATGAACTGTCTGGATGACTTGTCAATGTATTCATAATTTGATTGATTTGTAAACGGCTTTTATCATAAGCATGTTTAGCAAAATAAAAAGCAGTGAACTTTAATGTTTTTGTGTATTTTAATACAATACACACGAAAAACTGTAATCTCACTTCACACTGTAAGATGATAATCTTTAACCTCATCCGCTGCATAAAACATGAATCACAATCATGATATTACCACTCCAGAGTCCAAGGTCACTTAAAACCACTCTCACATTGCACTACAGAACGTCAAAGGAAACTGCAGATGACACATTTTAATGCTAGCACATTGAAAATCCAGCCTGGTCTTAAGAATGAAATAATAATAATAATAACATTGGATTCTTATATAGCGCTCGTATCGACCCTGCAAGGTCCTCAAGGCGCTCAAACATTACCCGGCTATGCTAGGCTGCGGATTTCGACGCTCACAGCATTTCAAGGAATTCCTTCCTACTGGTACCTATTTAACACCTGGGTGGAGAGTGGCAAATGTAGATCAACATAATCTCACAATATTTCCATATCAATGTGGCTCTCTCCTTAATACTTTCATGACCTTGATTAGCACTTGGGACTGGGGGGGGGGGGGACATCAGGGGAGTTACCTCCAAATTGATTGACGAAGTTTCAGACGTGACTTTGCTTTCCTGCCGACGGAAGGCGACCACGTTCGTGTCATTTGAGTTGTTGCATTCCAAGATTGTCTGTTGGGAAATAAAAAGTGTCATCTCAAGTTTCCTCTGACATTCTGTAGTACAATGTCAGAGTGGTTTTTGCATGACCTTGGGAGAGTCAATATTGGGATCGATGTTTTATTCAGCAGATGAGGTTAGGGATGATCATTTTTACATTGGCAAGTGAGATTACAGTTTGTGGTGTGCCTCAAAATGTTTTAGGAAACAAATGTGAGAGGATCAAGCAAATGCTCATCATTAAGTGAGAAATTATCTGATCCTTTTGATAATTTTGATGATGCATGTATGAAGTAATGAACACAACCATGGCCATTAATATCTGCAAGTACATTTCACATGGTGTTTGCTATTCCTATCCTAGCTCTATTCATATCACACAGGATTGATATTGCATCACAACCAGGTATGCTGTAGCTTTGTTATCATTTGATTTAAAATTGAAACTGGCAATCTTCCTTGGTCCCCTGTATTTGTCCCTATCGATATCCATGTTTCTTTCTCTCTTTGTCCAACCCTCTCTCTCTATTCTTTATCTTTTTCTCTTTTTTTATTTATTTTCTTTGTTCCTTAAATTTATGTAGTAATATCTTCTTTTTTTCTCATTCACTTGTAAAACCTTTCAACTTGAAGCTTTACTTGTATGATTTGAATCTTTTATGACTCTTTGTATATTCTCTTCAATTTCTCTACACTTCATCTTTGATCATTTATTTTATTGTACAGTGCATATTTGTTTGTGATATTGAACCATTCTTTCATCTTCTCTCTTTCAGATTTCTCAGCGAAACTCATCAACGGCCATGTTGCTAATGCTGGTCTCCTGGTCATCTTCTATCAAGGTTCCTGGGGTACAGTCTGCAACAACACCTGGACGATCACCGAAGCTCACATCGTCTGCAGGCAAATGGGCTACCCAGGTGCAGCACTGGCTTCACATTCAGAACTTGTGACTCCGCTGGACAAGGATACCTATCCAATCCTTTATGAGAACTTTAATTGTAGAGACAATAGCACCCACCTCTCCAACTGCCAATTTGAAGAGTACTCCATTGAACGTGGTTGTCAGAGCGTGCAGTTACTGTGTCAGCTTCCGCAGCCGACAGGTAAGAAAGAAAAATGCAGTATGTATGTTGAGAGTTGAGAAGGGTATTAAAGCTTATCTGCCGTAGTTTACAGGAGGGATTAGACCGCTCTGCAAGGTCACTGGACATGTGGTTATCTCATCAACTCAGCTCTCAGTTAACATAAGAAAAAGAGGATCATGGGGGACCAATGGTCACCGATTAGGCATTGTTTGTTATATAGAGGGCGCAAGTAGCTACCAGTAGTGCAGTGGGCTTTTAAATCATATACTTTCATACAAAGTTAGTACCTCTCTAGCTCTAGCTCTAAACAAGCAATTTTGTTACTGGAGGTGCCTTTCTTACTACCCATATCGTAAGTACAAATTACTGTGTAGAATTTTTCTAAATTAAACTGGACAATCAGCCGATGCAGTGAGCTAAAGAGTATAAAAAGCTAAAATGCATCTTGCTGATGAAAAATATTTTGATGTAATTAATTATGCTTCAGCGATGAAATGAGTATAGATATTGAAAATACGCCTGGCTCGTATGGATGCCTAAACAACCAAAGAGTGTACAAATATTTGAGATAAAAACTCATCGTTCTTCCCACTTGATAAGATAATCTCATGATGCATTCATGCATGAGGAAATTTGTCTTGGGCAATATCCTCTAATGCCTCGTTGATGTCACATTTTCAGAGCCTGTGATGCGTGGCATATCTCGATGCAAGCATTTCCAGAAATGGGGCTATGCAAGAAATTATACTTGGCTAAACCTGAGAGCGCTAGAAATAGGGGCATCTTGAAAGCGAGTCAGTCAGTCATGCAAGACATGAGGTACACGCATGGTATAAAAATCTACCAAAAGCTGCAAGTGAAGGGGGTGGGGTCAATATTCTTTGTGAAAAACAGAAGTTTGGCCATTGGTTGCTTTCTCTCCTTGAAGTGGATAGGAGGAAAAAATCCTAAAAGAAAAATTAGATGGTTCATCAGTTTTCCTTCTCTTTCTGATAGAGTATAGAGGTGGCAAAACACTTTTAAAAAATTAGAACTTGAAAAATAGATAGGCCATTGGATGCCTTTCTTGGACACCTTTCTCCCTGAAAGTGGAGGGGGGGCAACACGCTAATGGCTGGATGAATATCACACTGTAAAGCAAATCACTTTGATCAGTTATTTGAAAATTGAAAAGTACGGTAAAAGAATCAGGTATTGATACAGGAATGCTTTGCTCAAGGGAATTGTTATTTTATACTTACATTTTAATCCAAGTATCTGATTACTTTTAGTTAATATTCTAGAAAGCAATTAGGGAGTGATTCTGAAATTGATACTCATTCAGAAATTAATATGTGCTTCATCATGATTACTTGTACAAGTGAGAACAGCCCTGTAACAACACAATACTACTCCCTAGGAGCATCATTTTTGTGCGACCCAGATAAGGGAGACCAAAATAGATCTTGGTTTTTTGTGGGTTGAATGACCGAGAGGCAGCCCATGGAGAATGCATGAAAAATTAACAGGCATCTTTTATTTACGCTCCATGGCACAAGCCCCATACCCTCACTGTTCAGGCCCTGTTCAGACTGAGGTAATTTTAACAAAACTTGCATAAAGAAGGAGTGTTCACACTGGTTAACAACATCATATAAAGAAACGTTGTATGAGGTAGCCTAGGGAAATATAATGGCCCAAAAAGACGCCTCTAGAATACAAAATACATAATACATGTAGTTTGTGTTGTTTGTTATTTAAAAGGTTGTTTTTTTACATACAGGTTAAGCTATTAAACATTAAGCCTCATCGAGATGGTACATGTATGTACCAGCTCCATATCTTGACAATTTTGTGCTACCTTTTTGTGATAAAATGATGATCTCAATAGTTATGCTTTTTTGCATTCCAGACGCCTCTTGTTCCAAGTAAATTTCGCTATTGTGCCTGAAGAAACTAGTTTTGGAGAGGCTAATCATCAATGCCAACTCTTGATAAGGCCTGCCCAGTTTGACGTTTTTTGTGACATACGACGACGTTTAGACTAGAACAGGTTCCTGATTCTTTATCGAGATTCAATTTGAAACAATGCTCAACAATGCTCAAACATTCGTTTTGCAAAACCATGTTTCATTATACATTCAGGCTAGAATATATCGTCGCCCAATTGGGAGAAGGGCATTAGCGCACAAATGACTCAAAAAAACTACTTTTTGAATTATTCGCATTTAAAGATTTGTTTTATATTTAAAGTGCTTTCTGTCCTGAAAATGGGTTTAAAACTTAAAAGACTAATAGAAATGTTATAGTAGAACACGGCCACAATTTTTTTCTCGGAAATAAGTCAGTTTTATAAAAGTTTGAGGCGATTTGGTACTGACACCCCTCTGCTTAGCACTTCATTTTTGACCTAAAATTCATGCTAGACAACGGTTTAGTTATGTGAGTGATTAATTTAGGATGTCTGAACAGGAGGGGATTTGATGGAGTTGTGGCTTCATGATGAGGGGGTGAAGCTGAGTGCAGTGATGAGCACTGATGATTTACCCAAAGATCACTCAAGAATGGTCCTTATTTGTAGCTGGAGGTGTTTCTAAAGCGGTTTCAGTTGCTTGTGGTTTACATCTCTTTTCCATCTCGACTTGTCTCAAGAATATTGAAATTGAAACCAAACTGCTCACAGGTAACTCCTTGAATGCAGAGTTAACACTGAGTTTACTTATCTATGTGCTTACTCACTTTTACATCAGTGCCTTGACTAGTCTACATGCTAGTTGCATTTACATGTTTTAATGCAGTTTCAATGTATAAACTTGTGATATCCTTCGAATGACATAATATTCAAAACTAACTGGTTCAAGAATGATATTAAGTTGGGTCATTTTAGAAGAGAGATAATGCCTTCTTGGCAGTTCATCCTTTGCATGTGTAACTCATTTCTGGGAATCTTGCTTCCATCATTCACATCTTTCCCCCTATTAAAGTTTCTGTGGTAATGAGAAGCGATATGTAAGATATCTGCGGGGTTATTGTGTGGTCAGAATGTCCCCACGATTGGCTCACATGAGTTAACTTTGAATGACTGACGTTGTTGCGGTTTTCATTCCACAAAGGTATTTCACAATTAAAGGCACCCATGCTGCAGTGTTCATTCTGAATATTGTTGTAAGGGCAGTAACGCCTAAAGGCCATGCATGTGACCATGCAATAATCCATGGGCTGTCATCCATGTCGGACATCTCAGAATCAGTATCTATCGCAAAACGGATCAGAAAAGCTTGAATAAAGCGTAATAATCCCCATTAGCCTGCAGAGACAGCCGGCCGGGCAGTCACTGTTGACATTACACTTGTTGCCCAGCCAAGCTGTAACCAACATTGCAATCATGTGACGGAAAGCCGCTAGCTAGACGTCCGGCAGGGTCCAGAGGGTCCGTTGGTCATTACGATTCGAAGACGAGAAGGTATAACCTCCCAGTTATTTGCAGAACCCAGTAATCAGAGGGAATCCTACAAGAATTCATTTCCATCTTGGAGTTTGTAGCACAGAAAGAAAGGTGTCTGCACTTTGATGGCTCGTTGCATTACTTCAAAATTAAGGGTGAAAAGGGCAGGGGGCTAAAGTGTCGTGAGATCTTGTGGATAACAGCTCTGCAAACCATCCCTTGACTTTTTCAACCTTCTCTTCCATGATGAAACTCTTGAAAAGCTTTTCTCTAGTATGCCGGTTGTTTCCTTTTTAATAAAGCTGGAGAGGAGTTTGAAGAGTTTTAGCAATCAAACTCAAAAGTGTAATGCTGTCATTGGATGAGTTCTTCTTTTTTTGGGGGGGGGGGATGTAGTGTACTCTGAGATAAGATCATCAAGATTGAGATGGAATAGAATACCTAAATGCTGGTATAACTTTTTCGTGACCAAACGCAATGAGGTAGAGAATGAAGTCAACTTGCAAAGTGATCAGGAGTTCTTTGGCAACAGTTAAGATTGGCTATAGAAAGTGACTTCCCTCATCAAGATGATGATCTCTTTTTACACAATTCAGAATACACATTTTTGTTAAACTGTTATATATCTAGGTTTCAATGAGGAATGATTGAATTGTGAGGGTTGTTTAGGCTCTCATGGAGACGGAGCAGGAACATATTCTCAGTTGCTATATGTTTAGACACCCTGCATAGAAGTTTTTCGATAAAACAGTTGATAGTAACATACATGTGCTGAAGTTAAAGCTTTGCTCTAGGGGTGTGAATCCTCATCATGACAGCAATCACCATGGTAATGATATATTATGCTGGCATTCAGCGGAAATTGGTCACACTTCAAGATGAGCATCAGAAAACAATTGAGAAAAGGGGAGATGGAAAGAGAAAAAGGGAGACAGAGAGAGAAAAGCGGAGAGGATAAGAGAAAGGGTGTCTGGTGAGAAATGCTGTCGAGACAGAAATGATGGATGAGAAAGAAAGGGGGATCTGTAATAATGAGAAAAGGAGGGTGGAAAGAAGATAATTAGACCATTGGACAAGAAGACAAGAGGGAAACACAGGTATATTGAAAGAGAAGGAGAAATACATGAAACTAAAAGATAAATCAAAGTGAGGAGATGTGAAGAGGACTCCAATTTAGAAGGAGAGAAGCAGAGGGGAAGAAGAGAGAAAGGGGGAAGATGATAGAGAGGGAGAGAAAGAGTGAGGTGCAGAGAGAGAGGGGGAGAGAGATGCAGAGAGAGAGAGGGGGAGAGAGATACAGAGAAAGAGAGAGAGAGATACAGAGAGAGGCAGAGAGAGGCAGAGAGATTCAAATGAGATAGAAGAGATCAAAACAGCAAATGAAAGACATGAGAATAGATTTCAATTCACATTAAAGAGAACAACTGAGAAAGGAGAGAGAGAACACAGGGTGAAAAAAATAGGTCTATTAAAGAAAGCCTACAATGAAATGAAAAGACTAAAATGTAATTTTAGATTAAAGAGAAAAACAGAGGAATGAACGGTACACTTTTTTTTAAACCTGTGCAATTAAAGTGATTGGAAAATACAAAAA